GCAACCTGGGAGAGAGTTCTCACTGGAACCTGACGATGCTGACACACTGATCTAGACTTCCATCTTCTAGAACTGTGAGAAAGAAATTTCTGTTTTATTTCATCCACTCAGTCTATGGTACTTACAGTAGCCCCAACTGACTAAGACATAGGAGTTAGAGGGGAAAAAAGTAGAAGCAAGAAGGTAATTAGCGATGCAGGAATCTAGGTGGGATACAAAAAAAATACAGCGAAAGCCTGTGCAGGACGAGAGAACAGAGATGCATTTGTTTATGTAGAGCTGGTCTTTTTATCCATGAAGTCATTCCAATTAGCTAATGTGAAATGCTGGGGACACACCTACATCTATACAAAGATCCTGTCAATACTGATATAAGTTCCTCTCGTGACCTTAAAAGCCTGCCAATTGTATTTGCTTCAAAACACTTGAAAAGAAAGTCACACTAACTGACTGACAATAACTCATTCTCAAGGGAATCTACAAGAGAACTCTAAGAGAAACTCAGAAATGCAGACCCACAAAAGTCTGATCCAGTTGTGGAAAGATCCCGAGCTTCCAGGAGCTGACTTGGGTTCGAATCAAGGCTCTCCTACTTATAACTGTAAGACCTTAATCAAGTTACCTTACTGTTCTGTTTATTCTTTTCTATTCATTTATTAGTAAAATTGACATAATAACAATGACCACATAGACATGCTGTGAAAATAAAATGAAATACTGAATCTTAATAGGGCCTAAAAGCACTTGGCACTTAACAGATAATCCTAGTATGCTGTAGGGACAGTACAATCTACTATTATGTGCTACAATAAATTATAATGATCAGTTTTATATCCAACTTTCCCATAAGATAATAAGGTACTAGAGGATAGGAATCATGTGATAATATTCTTGCTTGGCCCAGAGTAATCACAAGTGAATGAATCACTATCTACATAACCTGTACAGCACTGTGTACCCTGCAAGCTCTTCAAACACCCACTTCTAGAAGACTGACTGTCTTCCTGAGGCTAGCTCTAGACTGGCAATAAGGGAAGAGGCATATAGGTACTTACAATGCACAAATCTTAAAATTGCAAGAGCACATAGCATCTTGCTACATTGTGATCCTGTGGCTCAAGCTCATGAATTTAAATTCTAGGTTCAAACAATTCAAAAGTAACCCTCCACCCCAAGTGATTATTACAGAAAGCCAATGCCACCATAGATGCAGCTTAGAAATTTGTCTTAGCCTCCCTCCCCTTACACATCCCCCAATAAAACTGACTTTGAGTAAGACAGAGAAGGGTGCTTGGAGAGGGGGATGGCCAAGTTCCAGATGGAATTAAGCTCCAGCATCTGGATGAAGTGAATGCATGGGTTGGTGACCTGTGGAAAAAGTCTGGACAAAAATCAATAGATTTTTGCACGACTGTTCTAGAGAGAGCATTGATAAGCACGAGACGATCCTTGATGGGTGCTTGACTTATGCAACTGAAATCAATCATCCATGGGATATGGGTATGTGTTTTTCTAAGAGGAAATAACTATCAGAGGCACATGCTTGAGATAAGTAAAAAATGAGTCCAAATCTCAGTCAGATGAAACAGCAAGGTTCCTGAGCCAGAAAAGATCCTATCCCATTTTTTTCTTCATCCTGAAGTTAACCAGATGGACACATTTTTAAAGCACCAATCTATTCACATTTTTGGAAAGAAGGACCCGCTTTGTGATGGAAGATCATATTTAAATGAGACAAAATATCTATTTTTCAAATCTAGAGTTTAGATCCTGTTTTCATTTTTTTTTTCTTTCTTCTTTCTCTTCCTTTACTTTCTTTTTCACCTGCTTTCTCCACTCTTCTGCTTTAGATGGTGTATTTATGACTGTATGTTTAGAATATACTATGGACAATGTAATAATGGAACGGACACTTTCAGACATGGCATGTGAGAGATGCTGTGCATATGAAACAAAATATGTAACTTCCTCTTATAGTGTCCTATATGACAACAGTTTATTATTACAAAACCAGAGATCAGAATTCACAAAAGAATAAAAGAGAATAAGGAAATGAAAAAGAAAGGTGAATTGCAAGAGAACCATGGGAAAAGGCCATTGGCAGTGTGCATCAGTAATCTCTCCAGGCCTGTGCTTACTACTCTGAGTTTCAATTACTCATCTGTAAAACATGGACAATAGCTGTTTCTATCTCACAGGGGTTTTGAGAGGATTAAATGAGACAGTATATGAAAAGCTTTTGGAATGGAGACTGGGAATAAGCCTTCAAAATAAATATTAGGCAGTGTGATTATTATGAATATCATTCAAAGATTAACAAGATTATACATACAGATCCTTCTCATTAATAAACACACTCAGTAAGGTGCAATTATTGTTTTTATTATTACCATCATTATTGCTATTCTTATTTTCTCTATTTTATAGGTGGTTTCTGTTTCTTTGCTTGGCCTCTCTGAACTGATGATTTAGTGGACAGTCTATTTTGTTCTTGATTCAGATTTGGCCCAATTATGCTGGCTTTTAGATTTCCTAAGAATTCACTCTCTGTAGGCCATGAATCAATCATGCCTCATTAACATGTCCAAGGAAACTACACATGTAGAATTGCTCAAACTGGACCTCCAAAAGCAGCTCAATTGGTCGATGGTGTATAAAAAACTAACTAGATAAAGGCCAACAATTCTCATGACTCCTATGGAAAATCATCATGGATTTTTATGAAATTTTTATAATGACAAAAAAGGTTAAATTTTTTATTTAAATTCAGGCTCAGTAAAGAAGAATAACCAATTCTCCTCTACAAAGATACGTCATAACATTTGGGTGAAGATGGATTATATCCATAGCAACAGAGCAAACTTAGAGCCAAATACTGGGGAAAGCATTTCTAGACTGAAACAGATGTTCAATTTGCATACTAAGTCTCTGAAAACCTGTTGATAGACAGCTTCATGGACAATGCATCCAGCATGAAGATTGGGTTTACTGGATTATTATCCTTGTTAAAAAAGCCTTTGGGTTGTGTCATCTATGAGTTCTGGATCTGCTAAGGGTGATTACACCATGATGCAGGGGTGCAAACGGCTATATTTCAGATATGGGTTTTCAGTGTGTCACAGAAAGTGAATAGATATGTAACTTGAAAGTTGTATGAATACACAGCACTAGTTTAAATAGGAGAATGTAAAGCTCCAGTCCCACTGCACCTTAGGCATATAGCGATATCTTCTCAACTTTTCTGGTTATTAAGCACTGGTTATTAAGAGCAATCAGAGGTTATTTATTTTATACTCACTGAGTTTCCCTACTAGGCAATGAGCTCCTTAAAATCAGGAACTGATGGGAGTCTAATTCATTTAATTCATCTCTGTAGCCTGCTGCAAGAACAGAGGCAGAGAACATACTCTTTGCAGCCATCCATTCACCTACGTTTCCACTGACTTTGAAAGAGAATTTGAGGCAGGTAAGTATAAAACAGCAATACACTAAGAAATGAAAACTTATGGTTATTTGCATCCCTATCCAGCTTTGGATCAAATCATTTATAATTTGACTGAACATTTAGAAGAGTGGGTGGGATTATCAGACCACAAACAAATAATTTCGATATAACATAGTAAATGTGAGGTTGGGTAATTGAGGCTGTCTCATTTTCTCTCACCTTCCACATTTAACTCCCCCAAGGCCTACCAATCTCTTGACCTCAATTCTTAGTCGTCACTGCCACTATCCTCATTCAAGCCCTCATGGCTTTTTATCTGTGGACTAACCTACTAAAACTGGTCTCCCTGCCTCCAGCCATGTGCCTTCAGGCCTTCTTCCTTACTGCTGTGAGCCAGACAGATATCTGAGCATGCCTGTCCATCCTTCCAACCTTTCACTGGTTCCCCTTGGTCTCGGTCTACTAGACAAAGTTCAATTCCTTAGCGTGCTTTACAGGGAATTCTTATGATGTGGTCCCTGCCCAGCTTCCTAATTTTTATTGTAAGTCATTCTTCTAAGAAAAGTTTATACCACAGCTGAAATTCTGGACTATTTGCAATTACCCTCAAATATGCCTTGTTATTTTCACTCCATGTCTTTGTTCCCACGCCAGTTCTCCTGCCTCGAAGAGTATTCCTACACTTCTTCGCCTGGTTTGTTCTTATTTCTCTTTTAAGGCTCAGCTCAAATTCCTTCTCCCCTGCAAAGAGTTCCCTGACCCAGCTTTGCGCCAACTCTGTGCCTTGTACCTCTGGTATAGTGCTCATCTCACCTTTATGGATCTTCTGCCTTCTCTATTAGACAATGGCAAGCACCAAACAAATTTTAATCAAACTCCTTCTAAGAACCATGGAATGAGCTGGATACAAAGAGATGACTTGGCCCTTATCTTTAAAGAGCTCATAGATTTCTGGAAAAGATTTGTAAACCAATAATAATAATAATAGAATGTGATAAGAAGTGAAGTTGTGTCTTAAAGGACAAGTAAAATTATCAAGGGGGTAAAGAACTCTCCAAGAAGGAAAATAAGCATATACAAAGGCGTGGAATAACATAAGCCATGAGGAAGCTGTGAGTAGGGCAATCTAGCTTTAGTGACAAGGTCATGTGTGGGACTGGAGGGGGTACACCACAGAGGGAATGATATGTACAGAAAACTATCTGAACTATGTCCTAAGGGCTATGGGGAACCACTGAAGGATCTGGGCTGGAGAATAACATGGTCTTTTTCACAAAGGGCAATACCACTCCCTCTGCCATGAGGAAAATGGATTGTTGTCTGAAAGAGAGATGAGAAGATGGGTTAGTCATCATCGCCTGAACCAACATTTATTCGTTTGGCAAATGTATGCTGCATATGCACCATATGTTAGGCCATACACTAAGAAAAGTTAATTCTTCTGATTTAAGATTCTGAAACTCTTCCAGATACTCTGTATATGGGTAGTGTGACAAAATGAGCTAGTCAAGGGTGTAAAAACGTTAAAGACCATAATGAAAAAGTGCCAACTTACCAATTTTCCAGTAACACTCTGCCCACCTTCATTCAGCCAGAACCCAGGAACCATAGCTGAGAAATAAGGGCCCCAGACGCCTGGTACAAAAATTGGGTCTTTGCTGATCTGGAAAGAAAGGAGCAATATATACAAAAATATTGACCTTCAGGGCTAGAAGGAGCCTTCTCCTCCTCCCATCTGATGTTTCTATGACCATGGAATTCAGCTTCTTATTAAATACCTTTTATGGTAGGCAAGTCGCTCCCTCCAAAGGAAGGGCATGACTTTGTCTTTGGGAACCTTTCTGATTAATTCATTTAGATGCCAGGGTAGCAAAAGAAACTGATAAGGTTTTTCCTTGCTGGCTCCCTCTCTGTGGTAGACTGATTGCACAAATGGTCCCCATTTTCCACCAGTCCCTGTATCCACCCCTTTTGCAATGGGACCGTGCAGCAGCAACTCTCATTGAGAGATAGGGTGCCCACTCTTGAATCTGGGTCAGCTTTGTGACTTGTTTTGGCCAAAAAAAAAAAAAAAAAAAAGGTCACATACGACGCTCCCTGGAAAAAGAGAGAGAGAGATGAAAGTGACCCTGTGCCAGTTTTCCAGGCCTAGGCATCAAGAGGCCTCTGTGCTTCTCTACTCTTCTTGCTCCTCTGCCTTTGCAAAAGGAATATGCCCAGGCTAGCCTGCTAAATGGAAAGACATGCAACAGAGCTGAGTCAGCCCACTTGTTGCAGGTGGTGCTTCACGTATATGAGAGGGCCCAAACAAGATCAGCGAACAACCAGCAGCTAACAAGCCCAGGTCACCAGAATCACCTAGCCATCTGATAACTTGTAAATAAAAATACCAAGATTTTGTGCTTGTTTGTTACCTAGCACTTCTGTGATAATATATAAGTGATACATTCTCTTCTTTCTACAAATACTCACTAGCCATCTAATAACATCGCCCTTTTTAGGTGCTGGGAACACAGAGGTGAATCAGAATACTTGTCTTTAAGAAGCTATCCATCTAGAAGGAGCTCCATAAGTAAACAGACCAATAGAATACAGTGTGGTCCATGAGATGGTGGAGATAAACATAAAATGTTGTAGGGGGCACAGAAAGTGATGAGTAAAATGGTCCAGTGGTGGTTTCCTAGAGAATGAGACATACACTGAGACTTACAGGATTTAGCCAGATAAAGTGGAATGGGTATTCCAGGTTAAGAAAAGAGCTGGAACAAAGCCATGTAGGTGAGAGGGAGGTGCTCTTAGTATTCAAGATGCCACAACTTTTTTTTTAATAGCAGACCATAGAAGTTCTCTTAGGTGTTAAGAAAATATATCAAGAGATGAGCCAGAACAGACAAAGATGTGTTCACTCATCTAGAATAACATATGCTTCTCATCCATCCAGAAGAGATGGATGCTGAAGTCATATTTGTGGTTATGGAAAGGTGTCATTAGCGGGTGGGGAGGAAAAGGGAGTACAAGCACACAAGTTCTGCTCCTGCATGTCTTGAGGCTAGGCAGAGAATCTATTCATTCATTTATTCTACAAATATTTATTCAGCCCTTCTTACATGTTCAGTCCTGTACCAAGTTCTGGGGATACAGAAATGAACTGAATGTCCACAATTTCTGCCCTCATGAAATTTACAGTCCAACATTTCAGCACAGGGACGAACCTTCTTTAAATGTCTTGACCTCAACTATTCTGCCTCCCTTTTCACTGAACGAGAAGGATTTCCAACCCTCAGACAGGAAGGAGTTAAAGCAAGGAAACTACACAACATTTTCAACTTTAAATGTTGTTGAATAAAAATAATTTATAAAAAAGGGACATTTGACACCTAAAACAGGAAGAACAATCTCTGGGAGAAAAAAAGACAGGCTTCTGTAAGAAAAGACAATTCCGCTTACATTGACATATCCTCTCCTGTCCTTATTGGTTCAACAGATGTTTCCTGAATTCCTATTGTGATGTGCGTCTGTGCCAGGCACTGGGACTAAATGGTAAACAAAAGAGCACAGTCACTGTTCTCCTGGAGCCTGAAGACTAGGTGATCAACCATTTAGAATCAGGCAGGATTCTTCTAGGTTTAGCACTGTAAGTCCTGTGCTCTGGAAAACCCTTCAGTCTTATGCAAACTGGGACAATTAATTGGTCACCCTGAGACAGACATTAATCAAATCACGACAGATATGTGTAATTACAAACTGCAGTGAGTAAGCCAAAAATCGAAAGCTACTATATATGTGAGGTACCTAATCATAAAAATCCTCCAACAATCATGTCATTCCCCCCATCTGGGAATTGAGGAAACTGAGGCCCAGAAAGAGTACCTTCTGTAAGATCACCTGGCCAGAATATGGCAACTGGGAACAGAATCCAGACAGGACTGTGACTCAGCCATGCTCTCTCCTCTGCTCTTCACAAGTGTATCAGGGAAAACTTGTGAAAAGTCTTTTGCAAATGAAGATTCCCTAACCTACTTGTGTTCGAGGCCAGGAGGCTTGTGCAGTTTGAGTGAGTCTATGTTGGTACTAATGGCTCTTGCTTTCTGCCCTGAAAGGCAAATGAAAGATTCAGATCGTAGCCTAAAAACAAGACCATATTTTTGACAAAGCCAAATATAGAACCTGTAGAGTGTGGTGCCTGCCTGCTTTGTAGTTTTATAACTTTGGGCATGCTATTTAACTCTGACTGGGAAGACAGAGGTGGGATAAAAAAAAAATTACAACAAAACATGCCAAGTGCTACAGTAAGATAGGAAAGGAGGATAGTAGGAGCCAAAACTGCCTGGGTGGAAAGTGAGCATTTTAAGAGATGCCCACATTGGAGCTAGGCCTCGAAGGAGGAATAAGCATTTCCTTAGGGAGAGAGGGAGGGCATCCCAGAAGGAAAAGGGTTGTGTGGGCAAGGCTCAGAGTCACGAAGCTGTACAAAGCATCTTGATTTTCATGAGGGCTTAAAGTTCTGCATTTTACCTTACATAAATAATCATAAGGTCTGAAGGATAGGCATATTTTTTGCATCAATAGACCCTATTGCTTATCGAAAAATCAATTTTTGAAAAGCTATGGCTGGGGAAAAAAAACCTCAGTGAAACCACCCTCCATGTCAGGCAATAATAATAAGAAATGGTAATGTAGAATTAAAAATAATGAGAAGAAATAATAAGACAGTAATCATTAACAGTTACTGGTGCTTATTATGTGCTAAAGACTCTTCTAGGCTCTTTATAGATACTGTCACATTTACTAATCATGACACTCCAATGAGATGGGTCCTATTATTATACTTACTCCATAAATGATTTTACTGCATAAAATCTAAGTGGAAGGAGGTCAAACAGCTAGTAAACAGCAGAGGAGTAATTTCAAGATATAAGTTATGAACCACCAATTTATTTCCCTCTCTAGAACTTCTCCTTATCTGTAAAATAAATAAAATTGGACCAGAGATGTTTAATATCTGTTTTGTCTTTGAGATCCTCTAAATTTCCATGAAGTTGAGTCATTCTCCTCCAGCTGGCCATTTAGAGCTCTCCAGCAAGCTATTTCAATACAGACTCTGCCCTCGCATGGCCTAGGGGTCAAGGGGTTGCACTGGGTGGTCTCTTTGGGTTTCTCTAAGTACCCACTTTGCTCCCTTATTCTTCTAGCCTGTGGCCAAGATTATCTGGGACTCTCTCGACTGTCTACTTCATGGATTATATTTAATGGCTGTTTTACTATATTAGCTGAGTAAATATTCAGCAAATACTTACTGAATATACACTGAGTTCAAACTACTGTTTCAAACATGAAAAGACATAGAAAGATGGGCATCAGAGCCACAGAAGTCCTCCTGAAGTCTACAATCCAGCAGGTGCTGGAGTGCGGAATGGGCTGGTGGGGGCGTAACTCAGGCATCAAGAGACTTGTGAGTGTCCATTTGCATTCAGGCTTACAATTACTCTGACAGTGTGTGGAGTCAAATCTAGGCAGACCATTTCCAGCTGAAGAGACAGGCTGGGAATAGGGAGTGGGGTGTCAGCAAAATGCCCAGGATCACCAGGATCAGAAGTGGTAGAGCAGGGATTAGAAGCCTCTCTCCATGTGCTCCTGCCTCATTTCATGTCTGTCCCAAGCTGGCTCCATTAGTGGACGCCACTGGCTGAGCTTCACCTCAGGCTCTGGTACTGTCAGCCGAGTTTCTCTGCAGCGATAAAGCCCAGATGCCTGCTTACACCTCCTTGGGGGAGAGACGACTGGGCTCAGAGCAGGGAGCTACCCCAGCACCACCCCATCATCCTGAGGTTGGCCTAAGCCTCGGGCAGGGACAGGAGGCAGGCTCCAGGCGCCAGTGGTCCTGGGAGGGAACAGGAGGTTTTGTTTTGAGTGCCTCCAGCCAGGTTGGGAATTTTAGAGGGTAGCCACAAGCATGTGTGGGACTGAGTATTTCCGTGGTGGCTCATCTCTCCTTCCAAATGGACTGTGCTATCAACTTACTAGGAAAAAAAAAAAAAAAAAAGAGAAACATTTATACACATTCCAGCCAGCTCCCAACTCACTACACAGTAGAAAAAAGAGCATAGAGAATTCTGTTTATGAATGGGGGCTCTAAACATTCACCTCTAGTTTTGCACTTCTCAGATTAAATTGTAATGAGTTGCTTGCCTCTCCTACAAAACAGTGGGGAACCACGTCTTCTTATCTTAAAGGCAGTGAACATGGTTTAGTAATAAGAGCATAGACTTTGGTGTCAGACAAACCTGGGTTTCAATTCTGATTAGGACGTCTATTAGTCATGTGTCTTTGAGTCTCATCTATAAATGGGGATAACCTCATCTATCATAGCATTTTGTACAAGGCCTAAGTGGAAAAATATATTATGACGATCCTAGGACATAAAATGCTCTTAAGAAACATGAAACAACGTATGGTTTAATTCTATTCTTTTTTGGAACAGTGGAAATATCTGGAACCCGATGTCCTGGGTTTAGGTTCAGCCTCTACCCCCTTATTACCTCTGCCTTTGATAGGCTCTTCTTCCTCTTCCCACCTGGATTCTCTCGTCTATGTTCATCTCACTCATCACATCTCCTGGTGGCAGCCCATCCAGTCTCATGTGTGTAATGACAATTTTTATGT